ATGTTTCAAATATTAACACACAAATTACAGATTTTTTTTCACATATGTTTAGTTTTACAGTGTTCGTGTTTGTACATTGCTTTTCTCGCATTACATAAAACAATTCAAGTTACATTTCTTTTCTATCGGAACTGTTTGTTAAACACATATAATGTTAAATTATCAATGCTATTTTTGTGCTTCCTCTAAAATTAGTAAAATAAATAGGTATCTAACGTTTAACTCTATAGTGTATCTACAATATTTTAAGCTTTATTAAACGTTCATATTCTAAATATGTTTACAGTATGGAGTATGTTCCGAGCTTAATGTTGGCTTATATTAATTTCGATAACTTCTGAGGCACAGCTTTGACGTGTAGCAAGTATACTAGTATTGATTGATATGCATTAACAGAAAGATTTTCGAGAATTCATACATTACAAAGCAGCATCTTTGATTTAGATCTTATAAACTAGAGTATTACAAGTATTTCTAAACCATAATGTGTAAAACTAAGCCTGGTCTTAGATGATTTATTTTATGCTTCTTCTTTCGTTACATCTTTTTAAAACTATATATTAACTCTATCGAATAAGCTAGATTTGTATGCACCAAGGCTTTATCCTTGTGAGTACATGCTGTAAACGTCGGTTATATACCAACGATACTCGAAGCAGTAAGACATTGTTGTTAATTAAACTTGTTTTGTTTTTCAAAGCTAAACCCTTCTTATCTGAAAATATAGGACATAGTATAATTTATTCCTCTTCGCTGAGTAACTAGTTAATTAAAAACGTGCTTACACGTTAATTTATACATTTTTGCTGTTTTCCGAATCCGCAACTAATTAATGGAGGAGAAACAGGTGCTCCTGACGCCTGTATCCGGATCACTTGCTCTTCCTGTAGCCCCTTTGTTATGCGTGAAGCCTCCCTGACAGGTGCGGGGGGAGGGGGAGGGAGGCTCACATAAAGCACATTAGTGTCGAAGAAACCCGTTTAATTACCTTCAGTAACGAACACATGGAAATGTGGTTTTACGCTTGTGATTAAGGAAATCAATAGGTATCAACTTTCTGTCCCTTTTGTCTTTGCTGCTAGATAATTAACACTTTAGTCATTTTAAAAACCTTCTCTCTTCAGCCGATGTATCAAAACTAAATTAGCTTGGCGCACGCCCATTGTTTCTTACCAAAGTCTGTCAGACACAAGACTACAGATATAAATGAGTGTTGATTATTGACTTGACACGCGCAGAAAAACTTTAATTAAAGCTAGGTTGCTTAATGACAAATAACAGCCGGTAGTGTTAAAACTGTAGTTGTTGATCTTTCCAGACGCGGTACGATAAGAAGTGTAGTAACCTTATCTGTTTCGAAATCAGAAATCCAACCACTGGCATTTGAAAATGTTTTAATACTTTCTTTGATGTTTAACTTATTTTATGGGTTATCTCTACTAGCCGAACAAAAGCATACACACCGAAAGTATTATTGACACTACAAGTGATTACTTCCAAACTAGTTACACCACGTTATCAACCATAGTAATTCCAGAAAAATATTGAGAATTTTTTTTCGTCGTCAAAATAAGTGCTACAAATACAACTTTTCATATTAATATATATATATATATATTCAATTTGATGAATATGCTAATTTTAATAATCATAGTTTGTTAATCTTAGACGAGAAAGTGTTAAATCATATATTATTTTTGGGACTTATTGTAAATTAACGAATCAAAAACATATGAACTAAACATACTTCAAATAACTATGTTGTAGGATCGCCAGTTGTCATTGTCAAGTGCTTTCTACCAAATCCGCGAAAAAAGGCGATTAGACGTGGCCGTCTATATGTAAATAAATATTTTAAAATATTTCTAGCTGGTATTTTTTTTATCCTATGTACTTTAAATTTTTTTTTCTGGAATACTTAGAAATTCTAGTTTGTTTATTTACTTTTTCGTATTCACTGACACCCAACCTTGTCACTTTCAAATTTCAGAGATTACCAAATGAAAAAAAGCGTGATAAGATACGAAAATGCTAAGAAAATCACTATATATATATATATTTTTTTTTTAAAAACATGTCTCATCAGTGTTTCTGTCAAACGACATTCATAATGCTCTGATAAAGTTTGTTTGTCTAAACCATATATTTCTCTTTTCCTTACATAGATTTTAAATACTAATCATAGTATTCATACCTCATTGAAATAAAATTAGAAAAATGACCATTTTCAAAAAAATGAAAAGTGTTCGCATTGTGCTCTTTGGTCATACGCAACTCATTACATCAAAATGATTCAATGTACAGAGCTAAAAAATTGCATACATTTTACTGACATAAAGTTTAATGTTTTTATATATTAAAAGTGGTACCGTTTATTGAAAAAATAATAGTTTTTTAAGAACTCCAGTTTCTCAGTACTACATTTAAAAATTATATCAATAGAGATATAATCCAAACCCTCACGTACAGTCCTAGT